ATCGCCTAAATGTAATTCCCATGCTTTACGCGTGGCTTTATTTAATTTTTGCACGACTAGATAGACGAGCAAATCGTCCACCACTCAACTGGACGACCGAGGTTTTTTAACGCTTGAATTAACATATTAGCTGTATCTCGAAGCGACATAAGATCCTGCGCGGAATTGGTATTAACGGCCGGTAGCGTATGAAGCGTATGAATATGTTCCGACACTAATCGACGTTTATCATCGTAACGCGCGAGCAGTACATTCCACGCGATTTTAAAATTAGCTTCGGTCAAAGGGAGATTACGCAACGCGTCGCGTGCTTCGTCCTTTAAACACGAATAAAGGTATTGCAAGCGCGTAACATTCGACAACTCGGCATGATCGATAATCATGGAGCGGAATTGATCGCGAAACGTTTCCCATTCCCGTAAATCGCCGGAGAATTTCTTCAAATTAATGCGCGGCAATGTAAGAGTTTTTTCGGATTTCTGTGATTGACTCACGGATAACCCTGGACTTGATGGCGCTTGATCTGCTTCGAGAGAGGCGAGGGCGTCGGAGATGTAGTCCGATGCGGCGAGATAGGCGTCCTCCAATTCGATGTAGACATCCTCCTTGAAGTATTTCTCGGTATCCTTTTGTTCCTTGGTGGCGACTTTGAGCAGTTGTGCGTGCAGGAGCTCGCATCGAGCGTAAGTCTCCTTGAGAGTTTGAAGGCGATTCCGAACTATGCCGTACGTGTGATTTGCACGGCCGATCTTCTTAAAGTTTTCCAATGCGCGTGTGACAGAGCGCATAGCTAATCGCTGCTGCGATAGTAATTCTTCCATTATGAGTTTGAGAGGTTTCCGTAACTTGGTATGCTCGAAACGGAAATCTTGCGATGTGCCACGTCACTTACGTTCACAATATCCCTTGTTGTTTATCCGCCACGAATCCGGCTCGAAGGACCAGAATGTTCGTGGTTGTGTGAATCGCTGCTTCGATCTCGACTGAGATCTCAAATGACGGAATGGATTTGTGGACTGGAAGATTGAGACCACTGAGCACTCCTCTTTTAACTTGTTGTATGCAAGCTTTATTCACAAGTAAACGAAGTGTTGTTCGCGTGGCACGGCGAGAGAGACGATTAACTGCTGTTAATACGCCGAGACTCATACACGACGGTAGCCGTGATGAGACGTACAAAAGTAACGAGTCGCGGTAGCGAACACGTAGAAAGAAAGCTGCTGCTTTCAACGAGGAATTTGAGAGCACGACTTGACACGGCAAGTACTGAATTGTGTCTGAGGGGAGAATCGCGCTGCGCGATTAGCGCGACGAATCGGCAGGACGACAGCGACATCGGTATCCAAATATGCGGCTAAATTGTAGTAATGATATTCGCAAGACGGCGCGGTGAGTGCGACGAAAGATTC